CGAGAAGATACATATCTTCTCGTCACTAGTTTAACACAGTATGATCATTTGAGAAAATTCAAATATTTGCTCTAAAAGTTCATAAAATAAAATCATAAATTAAAATATTAATGTGTAATTTTAAGAGGATACTTATCATGAATATGACCCAGGAACATATTGAAATTTTGCCATATATCTTTATTTTTAAACTCATAATATTCCCTATATAACCCTAACCCCATCCAAACTAGACTATTTCATATCGCCTTGAGAACTAAAAATAAACTATAATTTACACTTCATTCTATAACAAAAGGACTCAATGTGGTTTGTTGTTTGTCCCTGTTTCAGGGTCAACAAAGTTTGTGGTATGGTTACAATAGTTGAATGAATATAGCCTAAGTTGCTTAAATTATTGTACGAAGTCTATTCATCTGATTGTATAGTTAAACTAGGAGCAATCCAAGTTTGAATCAAAGGTACTAATGTATTTCCAGTTCAATCCTCTACCCTAATCAAATACTCTTTTTTAGTTGTTGTATCATAAACCCCGAAAATCCAATGCTTTTTAACGTTGTGACCCACATTATACTTGCGTTTGAAAAATAAAGATTCATCGATTTCAATTGTGTCCTCGACCTCCCAGCTGGTTTACAGCTGCAACATCTAAAACTTTGAATGAGCAGATGTCTCTAGTTTAAACTTAATATTTATTTACTTATTTCAAGGAGAGAAAAAAAGTTCCTGAAAACATGGAGCTTAATGCCCCCTAGTTCTTCTTTGTCGAGGAGAACAATAACTTAACAGTCATAATACTGATACCAATGAACTGAAGTTGGTAGGCTTATCCCTACTAATTCAGCAGCAGCAGCAGTAACAGGACCTCTGAAACCAATAACAACATAAGTTGAAGTCATTTACACTTAAAGATGTTAAACATTCAAAAAAACCACTTCGTATAGTCTTTGTCTTCTTACGGCTGCTGCATCGCCAATTGTGTTTATCCTTAAAGAAAAAAAGCATCAGAAAAAGTTTAAACAAAATCCAATTTAACATTATTAGATTTTAGGAAAGTAATTTAATCCTTATAAAAGAAAATAATAACTTAAATAAAACTGTAACTTGTATACATTTTAAATACTAATCTGATTAGACTTAGCTTGTATTAAATATCAAATGAGTTATTATATGATTAAATAAGATATTTATGATATAATACCATGAAACATGATATGATTAAATATGATATTTACTTACAAGACACCGCTCAAATCTTTGAATAGTCATTTGCTGACCACAGAAACAAGATTTGCGAACAGGAATTAGTCTGTTTTGATAGAGAAAATTTATTTGCCTTTTTTTGTTTAATGCTTTCAATAAATTCTGCCAAAGGAGTAGTCTTTCTTGAAGTTGTCGTGTACTGAAGTGGATTTGATAAGTTGAAAACGTGCTCAAGTCTAATTTAATTTATTAGCCAATGAAAATCAACTTTTAATTTTTGTAACGAAAATTTTCGTTGTTTACCGAGTTTGGGGTGCGCCGTTTTTAAGTCCGCCGATCCTGATAATTGATTGGTACGGTGGCTGGAGTAAAATTGGCGTTTTCCTAAATTAAAATGTTAATTGGAGAACCATTCGTATCAGCCTGATAATGTTGTTGTAATGTTTAGATGTGTCAGATACAAATGGATTCTATTTATCTAAAGAAGCAATAATCCAACTGAGAATCAGACTGAGTTATTATCCAAAAAGAAGACTTCCACCAAGTCCACTAATAATCAACAACAACAACAGCATTTAGGAAAAACTTAAATGTTACATTAAATATTACAATGTAATTTACAGCATATTCAGTTTTATGACTGTTAAGTTATTGTTCTCCTCGACAAAGAAGAACTAGGGGGCATTAAGCTCCATGTTTTCAGGAACTTTTTTTCTCTCCTTGAAATAAGTAAATAAATATTAAGTTTAAACTAGAAATATTTTTAATTGATAGATAACACTTATTTTTATATATACAAAAGCTTTTATTTACAAAACTTTTAAGTCTAACTAACGTTAACTCAAAGTTTATAAAGTGGGGGTAATAAGCTCCAGTATGTAATAAATATACTTTTACATTTTTTGTAGACAATTCTCACAGATCCAGTCCATAGCTTCAATATCAGCTTCATCTGGATTTTCTGTGCATTTAATATGGTACCAAACATTACATAAGTCACAGCACACCTATTTTTCTCCTTGACCTACATGAATACCAAACTTTGAACAGTGTCATTGTCATAACTGTCCCTATCATTTCCAACAGGAAGATTTTTCTCATGGTCTTGAATAATGCTTGGATTTCTGGTTGGCAAACATCTGCTTACATATAACAGAATTGTAGGAATCTGCCATTGTCTGGCTAGTTGCATAAGAGATCCTGCCTTCTTCCTCTTTCTTTTTAAATGTCGGAACAGTTTTTCCTAATAAAGGGCGCAATAAGCTCCAATTATCAAAACTATATTTGAAAAAAATATTTAAACTATGTCTACAAATAAATAATATTTGTTTACAATTTAAATTATACCTGCATGATATTTGTAAAATTGATGGTTTTTATTACATGGGCTTTATTTATCTGATCAATGTTATTTGATTTTATTGCCTTTTTTAACAGTTATGGATATTAAGCCCCTGCTCATTAAAACATTTATTTTTAAACTAACTATTTTTAACTATTTTTAACTATTTTAATATTACATAAAACTTTAATATATTTTAACTATTTTTAACTAATTAAACTAATTAATTAAATTTGTAATCAACAGAGCTATACTTCTCTTAGAAATGCTATCCATTCAAAATATTAAATAGAAACTCAGCATTAAAGTGAATTTTAGAGCTATTTATAAAGAATCTCTTAGACATTCATCCAACTGCCATAATTTGTTTTGGTATGGTTAATATCAAAACAAATGATATGAGATAAAATATGGGTACATGTTGAATATCATATCTTATATACATGTGAGTTCAATTCATCAAAGCGCCTATTCACATCTGATTTTATTTGTGATTGTTTATCATTTAAGGCTCGCTACAAATGCTTAATTATGCTCATCTTTAACATTATTTTACTGGTCTTAGTGTCTCTAGTTGTATTCAATTTTATATTATTTTGATTGTTTCTTTAAATAAATTCGGGAGTGGAATAACTTAAGCGTCTTCTAACAGTCTTCTTCACAGTTGATATCAGATTTCGTGTTCCATCTTCAAAATAATTTTTTAAATAACTGTAAGGCTTTGAACAATCACAACATTTGGCTGTATTATTAGTCTTTTTATTGCAATAAGTATTTCTCTTGTTTTATTTCTTGTAAGGTTATACACTTGGTTAAATTAAAATTTAGTATCACTTTTTTTCCTGTGATAAAAGCAGTTTTATCTGTTATCAAGGCTGTATTAAAAAAGATGTCTTTTGAAATTTTTTTTTTTTAATTTGAAATTAAGAAAAAAATTTGTGCAACAACAATATATATGACATTAAATCAATGTTTGCGTGTGACAATAACTTTGCAATGTGTAGTCACAGTAGCAGTTTATTGCTTTATTTTGGCATAGTGTGACCAGATATTTTTACTGTCTCTGTCTTTTCTGACAAAGATCTTTTTTTTTTACATTAATTTCCACTTGTATAACAGCCAGTTTTTTCATTGCTTTTAAAAGCGTCACATTGTTTTCTTTCCTAGCGTTTTCTTACAGGAATTGGTTAATGATTTCATCTTCATAGTCAGGGGAAAGCTGTGCTGTTGTTTTATCTTGTTGAATGTCTAAACATTGCTTTAATAATGCCCATCAACTAATGAAGTTTGACCACTTTTCTTCTAATTGAAATTAAAAGACTTTTTTTTTCCCAGCATCCAATCATCACAATTTTTTGCAAACCAATCTTTGTAATTTTTTGCAAAGCTATGTTTGCAATTTTTTGCAAACCATTATTATTTGATATAAGTATAAACATAAAAATGTTTGGAGTTTTTATTATGTCTGGAAGTTATTACAAACACCAAAAAATCCTGGATCCGTCACTGGTTGTTGTAGGAAACAACGTTTCTTTATGTAGTATGGTCCGAATCACCCAAAGAACAACTAGAAGACAGAGTACAAGCTAGGGTCAAAGACAAAATGCAAATCAAAATGTGAAGGTAAGTAGTAAAGGTTGTCTGGAAAACAAAATTATCTACTATTTACAAAGTTAACTATTGTATTAAGAGAATGACAAAAGTTTTGAGTTTTAGTGCCAGCAGGCTTAGTGAAAAAAAGGGTCAAACCATTCACTGTAAGTGAATAGTTTGGCTCTATTGGATCAGAAAGAATGTTAAAAGTATAGCAGTCTTATAACAAAAGACAATGATAAAAAACAAAGAGGACAAAAAATAAGTGAATTAATACGTAAGTATCAAATCACCTATTATGTTACTATCTAATTTGCAAAAAACTTAGTGTTAGTGACTAATGGTTGGTGTTATTGTTGTAAATGTTAGTGACTATCATGTTTGGAAAAACTCTAAATTTATGTGAAACAAAAGCTAATACTATTTCTCACAGAGTTTGGGAAACCTTACCTATGGTTCATTAAATTTAGTTTTATAGCTGTAGCATTATTAGGAGGTTATTAAAAGGATATCATAATCATAGCATACCATACCATTAACATACCATAGCCATAATCATAAAATGCCATACCAGTAGCAGATTGAGACTTCTTGGACCCGGGACTATTTTTGTTTTTGGAGGCCTTTTTTATACCATACCATTAACATACCATTGCCATTATCATAACATACCATACCATTAACATACCATAGCCATTATCATAACATATCATACAATTAACATACCATAGTCATTATCATAACATACCATACAATTAACATACCATACCATTAACATACCATAGCCATTATCATAGAGACATAAGTAAAAAGTTGTTTAAAAAATCTATATTTAATTTTTTGGTCAAATTTTTTTATTTAGCAAAAGTTGGCATGCTATGTACATTTGATCCACCATCAATTGCAAGCTGTGCAGATATGTTCAACTATCCTTTAAGTTCAAGCACTAATAATGCACATTGGCAAATTCTGAACCCAGCTAATACTTACAATTTACCACCTACTGGAAGTGATAATGATCAGTGTAAGTAATATATAATTTGAAAAAAAAAATTTTATTTCAAATTTTGGATATGTTTTATATTTATACAACATATTGTCTACTATTACTGGTGATGAATTTAGTTTTTCAGTTTAGTTATATTGATTGTTACCAATGGTTACATTGATTTCCCTTTTTTACTGTTTGTTTTAAAAGTCAAAAAAATTAATTAAAACAACTAAATAAATAAAAATATAAATAAATCTAACAAAGTATATATTTTCATAACAAATATAGATTTTTTTTTTAGTTAATCCATATCTTGTGTTTAATCCATCTCGTTACACGCCCAAACCATTACCAATTTTGTCAATTTCATGTCCAGATGCTGATGCTAATTCAACAGTCACTTTGTCATTTCGTTTCTATCAATTTGTTTCAACTAAAGTTACTGATTTTGTATATTCAAATCTTCGTAAGTTCTTTTTAAAAAAGTGTTTTAACAAATATTTATGTATGTAATATGTATATATACATGTATATACACACACACACGCATATATATCAGGCTTGGACAGGAATGATTAAAGATTGAATGCTGTTTATGACCACGCAAATGATTTTTGTTGTTGACAACTTGACCACAACTATACAGGTAGTTTGATGATTAAACATTCAGAAATGCGCTGAAATAAGAAATTCTAATCTAAATTTTATCATTAAAAAAAGTAACATCATTAAAGAATTAATAAAGAAAATTCCTTACACAAAAGAAAATATATAAGCTTTAAAATAAAACTCAAAAAAATTAAACTCGAAGCAGTTTTTAATTGCATTTGAAATAAATAACTTTAAAATTTCTAAATAAATTTTCTCTCTGTAGAATCTTAATTATGTAAACTCCAAATTATAAAACGAATATCTAACTTATGTAAACTCCAAATTATAAAACGAATATCTAACTTATGTAAACTAACCAAATTATAAAACGAATATCTAACTTATGTAAACTCCAAATTATAAAACAAATATCTAACTTATGTAAACTCCAAACACAACAAAAAAACTTGATTATGTTAAAATATATCAAGTTTTACAGTTTTACTTTAAATTTACTGCAAAATTGGATTGCTGCAAAATTTCCTTAATTTTGATTTATACCATTTATTTGCCGTTTTATTCCTTCTTGTTATTTAAATAGTGTTGAAAATCGGCAGTGTGTCAGTGTGCCCAAAGTGGTTAGCTTGCTATGCTTCCAAAGTACAGCGTGAGTGTTTTTTTGCACACACAACAAAATAAAGATACTTAAGTAATTAGTTAAGTCTATATGTTTAACACACATTAGAAACAACTTTTTTTTAATGAAAAAAAATTTAACATTCAAACTTATTTTCTTCATAACTAAATAACCGGGCGAGGTTTCCAATATGCTGATGGTCTGAAAAGAAACTTAATAAAAATTTAATAGAAACTTAATAAAGAAAAAAATTTTTAAGTCTGTAATAGTTTTTTTATCGAAGGTTACAATTTTACAATAAGAAGTTATAAATTATTTAAAATTGTTAATTCAAAACAAAGATTTGACAGGATTTTATTTTCTATCACTAAATCAACTAAAAAATCATTTAAAATTTTTTAAAGTTATGTTTTAAATTATTTTTTTATTCATAACTTTAAAAAATAGACAATATGTATAGTTTTTCTACCGCTTACTAAAAAAGATTGAAATAAGGTATATAAATGTTAGTTATAATTAATTTTTTATTTTATTTAAAAACAAAATTTTATTTTTTATTTTATTTAAAGCCTTTGTGTAAAATAAAAACTTTAAAAAAGATCAATGATTAAAAGTTATTCATTTTTTTATTGCATTTAAATTGTTAAATCATCAGTCAAGTTGTAACAAAAAAAATTATAAGCGTGATCAGTTGCAGCATGCAATTGCAAGACATTCCTGTTTAAGCCTGATGTATGTAATAATGTATATACTAAATATTTTTCAACTTTAAACTATTTATATTTTGAATATTTAATTTCTTATGGCTAAATATTTGATATGTTTGTTTTATTATAAACGTTAAGATTATGTTTTTAGATTTAAAGTTTCTTTTATAATTGCTTTATAAAATATCATAAAATGTCAAAATAAAAGCATTTGGTGGTGTTATGAATGCGAAGAGAGTTTCGTTTTTTAGTCTTTATTATAATAACATCAATTTATGTTAAAAACATTTTTATGTTAAAAACATTTTTTTTTTAGTTATGTATTTTTTATTTGGACTTGTCAGTGCAAATATAATTTTTATAAATAAAAATTAATGTTAATCAAAAGTAGATTTTTCAAATAAATTTGAACTTTGTGTTCTAAAATAAGTAAAAAAAAAAGGTAATAAATGTAATAAATTATATTGAAGTATAAAGTATTTAATTTTAAAAGTATAATGGAATTTTTCAGGTAAATAAAATGAAGTTATGTTAATATGTATTATTGTTATACAATTCAATTGGAACTCCCTCCCATGATGACATTGTAAATTCATCATCCTTGAGTAATTAAAAAAAAAAAAATAGACAAAAAGAAGAAATAATCATTTATGATTAAAGATTAATATATCACATACACAATTCTCAAAATTGGGGAAAATGAGGTCATTTCTGACATCAAACTGTTAAAGGTTGGCAAAAAAAAGTTTGACACAAAGAGGTTATCATAAAACATAGCAACAAGTTCAGCCATTTTTTACTATTGGCATTGCCAAATGCTGACCCTAATTCCAAGGGCTGCATATATAATATACTTGTATGACAAGTTGAAAGGCATTCATGCCTATACAAATCCAATTTAAAAACCTTATAAAATTATAAACAATAATAAAAAATATTTTGCGGAAAGTTTTTTCTGCATAAAGCATTAGAGTCTGTATGACTTTATTATAATGAAAAAACTTAAAGCAGATAAGTGACAGATATGAAAAGAGCCTTTTCTTCATTTTTTTTTATATAAAGAAATAAATTCCATTCATATTAATTCATATTAGTTTGAATTCAATGAAGACAGATATAATATGCATTATTTTTAATGTCAGCCTTTTTTTTTTTTTAAATTTATCTATTTTATATATTTATTTTTATGTCATTTTATCAATCGTTTTATCAAAAAAAAATAGATTTGAAGTGATAGAGAATGGAATCAGGAGCATGAATAGGGCAAGAATAATAGAGGCAACCTTTGCTCATTTTGATGGATTAAAAAATGGTTTCTAAGAGAGATCAGTAGATCAGTAACCGAAATACATTCCTTTTTAACAAATATGCACAATAGGGCCCTGTGAAGCTTCGAAATTTCGATTTGAATCAAATCAAAAAAATGATTTGAGATTCGATTCAAAAATTTTCAAAAATCGAATCCTTACTTATTTTATTTTTGTTGTGGGTATTTTAGATATTCTCTGCTTTGGTGCTATCAAAATAACTTATCCTTAAATACCTTTTTAATCGGTCATTAAAAAGGTTAACCAGGGCAAGAAGTATCAAAAAGAGATAATACTTTTTTTTTTTTTTTTTTTTTTTTTTTTGAAATATGTGTTATTAAATAAAAAATGCTTAAGTTTAGACTTCAAAATGTCGATTCGAAATGCAATTCGAATCTCAAATTAAAACCTGCTTAGATTCAAAACAAAAACTGCCAATTCTCAGATCCTTAATGCATAAATTATCTTTACAAAGTGTCCAGTTTAAAGAACATAATTTTTTCAGGCAGCACAAGCTTGTTTTAGTTGCAAAAATGTTTCTAGTAGCATAGGAATAGCATTTTTAAAATTGATGAGTCAGCACTTTTGACTCAGACAAGTTAAATAAAAATTTTAACCAAAATATTAATTTTAATAAACTTATGTTGTAATTGAATTTACTGGATTAATCAAATATTACCTTTAGTTAAAATAAATAAAATTAAAAACAAATATTACCTTTAGTTGAAATGAATAAAATTAAAAAAAAAATATTACCTTTAGTTAAAATTTAGTTAAAAAGTTTATAAAAAAAAGCAGTGAAAAAAGACGTGTTTTATGTCTGTAAAAAAGTTTGCGGCAGTTTCACAAAAATGTGGAAACAATTAAAAACCACAATAATGCATTGTTATACAAAAATGTCATTCTTAATGAAAAAATAACATAAAATTGTAATTGTAAACAAAACAAAAAAACAATTTTCCAATCAATGGTGATCTAAAAATGTGGCATAATAATGTGGTGTTCATTTTAGATATGTAATGGAATAAACAATATCTAATATTAACAGGAATGGAAAAAATGTCTTCCTAATCATGACCAGTTTTTTAAAAATAAAAAGTCTTCAAAAGACACCATGCTGTCAAAGTACATATGAGAATAAAAAGAAAAAGATGTTTGTTGATTTTGTATTAAATTGGTTCAACAGATATAATGTTGTATGTAAAATATGTATGCCTACAAGAAAATTTTTAATAAACTACATATGCAAAACAAGAATTATTAAAAAATCTGAACTAATATCTGAATGTAAATGTAAAAAAAATCTCTCATTAAAAACTAAAATCCCCATTAAAAAAACAAACAGAAACCAAAATTAAACACTTTTAAAAATCACCATTAAAAATATAAAGAAAAAGAAGTAAATATTTCTAAAACATTCTTCTTATTACAGTACCAACATATTCCCCAAATGTTTGTGAACAATGCTACAAAATGGTTATGTTCACTAATGATACTTCTATTTATTCTTGTCTTGATACAAATAAATGATATTATCATCAGTGAACAATGATACTACAAGTTGTGAGAATGTCTGAGATATCATTAATGTATATTAAAAAAAGTATAGGGTTAAGGATAAAACCTTGAGGAGCCCCTGAAATTACAGGAAGTGAAGAAGAGTGCTATATATATAATTATGATATATATTTATATAAAATGTTCTTTAATAAAACAAAAACAAAAACACCACTAATTAAAAAAAATTTCCTAGTCGTTATTATTGCGGTTTTTTAAAAATTTTTTAAAAAACAATAAAATTTAATGTACTTCTGCATTAATTTAATTCCTTTGACATTTCGACAACAATCAAAAACAGCTTAAGAGATGAGGTAATTAAAATTGTAGTCAAAAGAGAATTTTTTTACATTAAAAGACTCTTTTGACTACACTATAAGGATATATATATATATATATATATATATATATATATATATATATATATATATATATATATATATATATATATATATATATATATATATATATATATATATATATATATATATACTCTTGCATGGTAGTTAAAAAGAGTTTCCCATAAACTGTAGTTTTAAAGAGCGCGTTAATAAACCAGACCAGAAAAAGTTTAAAAACTTAAATTTTTTTTTTTTTTTTTAAATGATAGACTGCCTGCCCAAACCAAACCCTCAGTCGATGTAGCAGCACTCCCTTGCGAGTCAGG